CATGTGATGATTATCATTGACTGGCTAACACTAACAAAAAAAGACTGTTACATTAAATTAATACATTGTATACGTTGGTTGATCAATATATGCGATAAAATGATTAAAATATGTATTATTGAGCCTTTAATATCGAGCAATACATATGAAGTCCAATAATAGAAGCAGATTTGAACAATATTTTAATTACTACATATCGATATATATTTGTGCACATATTGGCTTTCTTGATAATTGAGACTCTCGTCTTTTAAAAAATTGGTTTTTTAATTTTTAATTTTTTTTTTAATAGATTATTTTTAATAGATAATTTTTAATAGATTCTTTTTTCATAGACCCTTCATTTTCTGAGGGACTGCAATATACTTATATTTTATACACATGAGAATTTTCTTCGCCAAGTTAAATAAATAAAGTTTTACAACTGCCTTTTATTACGTCTTAACCTTAAGTGAACCTCAAAATGATAAAATCTTATTTACTTTTGTTAGCTGTCTTTACAGTTTCCCTTTGTCTCATATCAAGAATCGATTCTTTTGACCGTAAGTTTATAACATTCCTTAAACTTTTAAACTTTATCGTTTGGAGAATACAAATAATACTATAGCTTTATTTGTAATCTTGTTTTTTTTATTTACTTTCTGAATCATTTTTGTTTCTATACATTTAATGTTATATTCGTTTCTATATATTTAAATTCATTCTTGTTTTAAATTCCTTTTTTTAAATAGCATCCAGTGTTAGCTCGGGTGAAAAAACAGGCTGGTGTACGGCGCAAACGGCCTCTTGTAACAATTATTGCTTGGATAACGGAACCACCGGTGCAACTACTAACACATGTGATCCCGACAAGCTCACTTATTCATGTGTTTGTGCCGGCGGTAAAACGCTAGATCCATCTAGTAATTATGAATTTTTATTTTTATTTTTAAAAAAAAAATCAAACTCTTTTTTCGATATTTGATTAATTCATAATTTTTTTTTTTTTTTTTGTACACAGTGTATACCATGCCAATCGATTATTTCAAATGCTCAAGTGATCAGGCAAATTGTACTCAAAAATGTGGTGCTGCAAATCAAGCTTGTGTTGATTCTTGTTCAGGACATTGTGCCGCTACCATTATAAAAACATATACATATAAGTTAGCTAGTGTTGCTACTAATACTCCTGTTCCTACTACTTCTACTACACCTGCCGATAAAAGTGCTCCTTCTAGTCTTTTAACCCCCAATCTTGCCATAAAATCAACTCCCGCCATAACAATCGCGCTCTCGATTGTTTTCTTGACTACTATAACTGTTTTTTTGATCAGACTATAAAATTGTGATTGTTTATTTTTATAAATACTCTATGGTAATTTAATCTCTTTAATTCGTATATTTTTTAAATCAAGATATTAATACGTATGCAATCGTACGTACGTACTTGCGTGATGGTTTATTTTTATCCTGTTATATAATAAGCATAGTAAATCTTATTTGCATATAGCATAGCGATAGCTTTTTGCGGGAAACTTGATTATACGTATATATATATATTTAGTATAAAATCTATGGCTAAATATAAACAATTAGTTGTTACGTATATTAATACTGTAGCATGTTTCACATAGTTTATAAAACTTATTAGGGAACAGTTGGATATATATTTGATAAAAAAAATAACAATCGTTATATATTATAAAATTTAGTATAAAAAATAAAACTTTGCTATTACATAATATTGTGTGATTATATAGAGTTTGTGATTGTATGAGCGTTATATAGGTATAATAATAATAAGAATAATAATTTTAAATTGTTCTAGAGAATTACTATGTTATAATGAGGTATCCTAACTAGAGCTCCAATCCGGATGATCCGTCATCCCGTTTAGTATCTAATTATCCAGTATGGTATGAGTGACCGCACGGGCCAGGAATTACGAAGGTCAGTATGGTATGGGTATAGAGAAGGCCAAACTTTAAAATCGTACCATACTGATCTGGTATATAACTTATAGCGCGAGTGACCGAATCAGTATGGTATGGGCCATCTGCGAAAGTTTTGTACTGATCAGCTATAACAGTCGTACCATACTGATCTTCGTAACTCCTTAATTTCGGATTATAGAAGATCAGTATGGTACGGGCCGAAATCGGTATTGCGAAGAGCAGTATAATACGACTTTTACCAGATCAGTATGGTACGGTTTGATAAAATTGCATCCGATCTGGTAAGTCGTACCATACTGATCTTCGCAATACTCATTTCGTACACTTTTCGTACCATACTGATCTAATTACGGTCCGAAATTATAAAACCATATTGATCAACTATAATTGTTAACCCTAACGCTATAAATTATATAACACCAGATCAGTATAGTACGATTTAAAGTTTTGCCTGAGTTACGAAGATTAGTATGGTACGACTTATCAAATCAGTATGGTATAGGCAAGGTTGGCAATGGATACACTCCATTGAGAAAATTACCAATGGAGTGAATGGAGCCCAATGGAGCCAATGGAGTGAATGGAGTGAATGGAGCCAATGGAGTGAATGGAGCCAATGATACTAATGGAGAACCTAATGGAGCCAGCGGAGAACTAATGGCTCCAATATAAAGCCGATGAAGAATAGGATTCTAACCACTAGCCTCATATACTGATAGCTCGACCTGTTG